GGAAGAAGCAGAGCGAGTAAAAAATAAGCTCCGACGCAGCAGCAGCTGAAATTGGTAAAGTCGTCGTGGCGGCGGTATTCGCAGCCGGCACATTTTTAGATTCGTACTGGCTGTGGCTAAAACAGATACAATGATAAATCCAAAGAGATACTCGGAGGAGGAAAATAAACGAGGAACAATTGATGAAAGAAAACATTATACGCAAGACTGAAACGACCAACAACAACAACAACATACCCAATGTGTTCTTCCACGCCAGCGCCACTGTCAGCAGTACAAGTAGCCCCAGACGCGCCGCAAACAGGCGGCGAAGCAGATAGCCAAAGCGAGTGCGCAAGAACTAGTATGGCAAATGTGTGGAGTAGAATGACAGAAATGACAATTTACTACGGCGATGACCACAGCGAGCATAGATGAAGCGAATAACTCGAAAATGTATGTGTGGGAAAGTGGAAAATAGCAAGGAATAATGAAAGGGAAGGCGTGCGTACCGCTGAATGAGTAGAAACTTATGCATGCTCCTCATATTGGGCTTAATGAAAGAAATGCAAAAAGCACTCGTCCCTCCAACGCTCTGAATTTATTGGGGTGGTGTACATGCCTGATGAGTGTATATGCTGCTTTTGTATTAATGAAATTGAAAAAGTACGGTTACTAAAGATGTGTATGCTTAAAACGGTCCTCACGCATAAATCGGCATAGCTTGAACAGATATAAACCCCTATTGTTGGGGTAAATTATACCCCATAATGGTAACGCAATGTTCCGATATTTATGTCGATCATATCCATATATAATCACGTTAGAAGCAGCAAACTCCCATCATCGATGAACGACATGAAATGCCGCCACGATGATGGTCGTTGCCACAATTCACCACTCGTTGCTATATCACTACTATTTACTTTTAGCCATTCTCGGACACAGCTAGCATTGTTGAGGCGATCAGCGCTGATTTATTAATAAAACAATTAAAATTAGACATTCGCAACAATTCACTGTAGCAATCACGCACTCCACTCGTTTCGATTTTTTGGCGATATACTCCGCGCGCAAATTTGAAGCTTATCACAAAAGAATTCAAGTTATTTACAATAAATCTTACCTTATAATAGGCGCCATTGTCGAGCCTGACTTCAACCATTAAATCATCCATTTTGTTTCCGTATTCTTTGCCTTTCAAGAATTAACACGATGCAATTTTATAAATTGCGGCAAGTGCAAGTTGTTGAATGAATTTGATTGAATTATGTAGAAATGAACAGTCCAAAATTAGGCAAATAGAAGTTCTAAGCGTAGGCTCTTCCCTGAAAATATCCTTCTACTATTGTGGTACAGCGCTGTTAATTAGCGCACCTCCACCTGGCTTAAATCAGCTTCCTTCAGTCTTTCGATTTTCTGCTTCACACTCTATACCTCCTCCACTTAAACTTAGTTAGGTTATCAGCTCTTAGTTTCGTCTGCTTTTATCCTTCTCTAACTATTTTTAATCTTTCCGTTGCTCGCCGCTCCTGCAGAAGATTTTATAACAAAAAACATATGTATATAAATATTAGTACAATTAAATTCTTTAAAATTTAAATTAAATGTTATTTGGTGGAATAGTATTTAAAAAAAATTTCACTGACTAATCTTTTTAACCAATTAAAATAATTTTCTTTCATCGAATCATAAATATTTTTAAAATTCGCTTTGATAACCAAAATATGATTTTCCTTTTCCTACAGTAGACAGAAAATTTTTCCTCTTCCGACCAGGCGTCGCAGCTAACGTCGCAGCCGGTAGTGACGGCTGTCGAAACAAACGTCAACGTCGCAGCGAACGCTGACACTCGGAACCCAAGCACTCGTACTCAAAAAAAAATTACTAATCGGTACGGTACTGCACATTCCACGATTAGAGCACCTAATTTCATACCAAATTAAAGGCCTTTTTAAGTATATTATCTAAATATTTCCCAAAAACCTCAACAAATTTTCAGTCGAATTTTCTTGAAAAATTTTCACGCCGTCTTTGATCATTGCCTTTATTCTTCCGTTCGTTTCTTCTTTACAATTCGCCGCTGTGCGAATTTTTTTCCACAATTGGTTTACACACTGCCTACCACAATTTTAACACACCTTAACCGTTTTCCGACGTCAATTAAGGAATAAATTCTATTAGTATTATATTTGTTTGTTTTAATTTGAAGAATTTAACTGCAATTTTATAAATTTTCGCTAGATTTTTCTGTACGTCGAGCAACGACAACGACCACAAGAAACTCCTTCTTCCTCTTCTTCTTCTTCAGCATGACAGTGTTGCTTTTTTCAGGCGAAAAGAAGATAAAAGAAAGAGAAAAATTTCCCAAAACGGTTCAGCGGCAGTGTTGCCAGAAACCCCCATTTATCTTCAAAATGATATTTTTCATAAATAATCAGAAAAAGTTTTACAAGATAATAGCTTTGTTTCTTAACAGATAATTATCACAAATTAACACTAAGATCGGTGTTATGCAGAAATTTTATTTGGCAAACTGCGTGTAAATTTTGTTGCAGCAAACTCGGATAGAGCGTGTTTGGCGACTCTCACAACAAACTAATTTTATTTTGGTCAAACTGCAGCTAATTCGGTGTTGTCATATAAAAAAATTTTAGACATTTGTTGCTATACACAAAAATTGCCGTGATACCGAAAGCCAAAGAACTGAATTTATGCTGTAGGAGCTTCAAAGATTAGGGCACAGTTAATTGCCTATACGATATCATAAAAAATATATTAATTGTGCGCGTTATGTACATCTGAAATGAACGTGCAACCCTATGCCAAACTCGACATAACCACTTCCGAGCAAACTAAGCAGCCGCCATTTAATTTGGCAAACAAAAGTTTGTCTGCATAACATCGACCTAATATCTGCACGAACCCACTGTTGCAAATTTTTTTCTCAAAACCAGTTACAAATACAACGTCACGTTCTTGCGTGATCTTGTATTTTTGGTTCATGGGATATGGTACGTTTTGTGAACTAGTCAAGTAAAATTGTTATATATTTATGAACTGTGTATTTTTTTTTAAATAATATGTGTTGCCGTTTTGTATAACAAATAAAATAAAATTTAAGTTTTAAGGTTATAAAACATTCAATTAAGATATTTCTAGAGAAAAAGTTATTTTTTTCTGGTTTCAGCAAGCTTTTTATTGTTTTTTTTTCAAGATTTTATCATCACTAGAAAGATTTGTAACCAAAATTTTCTGGCAACACTGTTCAGCGGCAGCATATCGCACAACGTCTTTAAAAGAGTCACAACTCAAAATTTAGTATTTATGAGATTAGGCGCTAAAAATGTACACAGAGCTTTTATTTATCCTTCAGCAAAAGTGGGGGCAAATTTTTGTTTTAATTTTTTGGGGTAAAGTCGCCCAAGCCCATATGATTATCATGCGCTAAGAAATAGTTTTCCGCATTTTCTGACAAACGCATTATTTTGAGTTGTGTTTCTTTTGAAGAGGGAGTGCGAGACTGTCCCAATTCTGGGTAATTTCCGGCTTTTGGCAACTCCACTCACTTATCTACGTAAAATAGTTGGCAACGTGATGCTAAAAAAACTCTAGCTTTGTTTCTTGACTTTTTTAGCAGATATTTATCGGCTGCGTTTCTTTATATATTCCAGATAATCCCATTTCACTGCCGGAATATACAGAATGCGTTTGAAATGAATAAAGAAATGCAGCCATCAGGAAAAAGAAAAAATGCGACAAATTACAGAGTTACGCTCACCGAAAGCGAAATAAAGAAACAGTTAAGAAACGACAACTAGCAGAAACCCCGCCCAGCTAACGCCACTGTCCCTATGGACCGAATGAAAGCTGCGCATTTCTTTTGCCTCCCTTCAGATGACCCTGACGACGATGTTGACGGATGAGCCGAGCCGAGCGGGATTTAATAGCAGCTACAATAATGAAACAAATTAAAGCAACTGTGCATCATGGTGGTATTATTATTATTGCGCCATGACTGTGCGTAACCTCGCTTGTTGACGTTTCAAATGTAAAAAAAAAAATAATTTACGAGAAACTAGCAGGTAGGCCAAAAAATAACTTAAGACACGCTTTCCAGCTGAAACTAGTTATAATTAGTGATATTTATGTGTAAACGAAGCTGCTATGTCCAAAGCAAAGCACTATAGGCACCGTCACACGGTCATTATTTGTAAAAATTTGTATGCTGCAAACTTACCCCTAATTAGTCCCTTAAATTATGAACCTAATTTGTCCTTAAGGTCATTTTTGACCTTGTGAAACTTAACGGTTTTTTTGGATTAAACAAAACGTTTTTAGCTGATTTATTGTTAATTGTTTAGTATTTGTCATATGTTTTTCTTCACATTTAATACATATTACAGGTTTGTTGTTGTGGTATTTGCCTAGAAATTTGTTGGATATACCACGTTTGTCAGATGCAAGGAACGTAATAGATTTACGTTCTTTGTCGGATAGTTGGTTTGCGCTCAAGGCGCATTCATAAAGGTGATAGAAATTGCTTATTAAAAGTTCCGTGTATTTTGTTATTACCCTTTGGTATATCAGAATGTCTAAACGAAAGACATCCTGAAGTTACACCATTTCGCCTTGGATGACATTCTTCTGTCCTAGTGTAGAGACAAAAATAGCATAGCAGCTGTTCAAGTAACACCACCTTGTTTAGATGCGGCTTGGTTTGCGCTAATGCCATGTGCCAATTGATAAAAAAAATTGGAAATTTTGACTGATGAAACTAAAAATTTTAAATTTCTCGTGGTGAATACGAACGACAGAAGTTAACCTACATAGCTTATGGGGCTAGGTAAAATTTTGGCAACACATAAATATATATGCACAGTATCAAGGCGCATCAATACAAGGTGGTGTTGATTGAACAACTGATTTTATATTTTTGTCTCTTTAACTACTGTAATTTACAGAATTTTTTCTAAACTGAACTTAAATACATATAGCAATAATAAAAATATTTATATATATATTTTTATTTTATTTTTTTTTATCATCAATCTTATTCTAATATACATTAGTAATTATAAAACTGAATATATTAAATTAAGCAAACAGTTGATTATTCGTCCTGTTCAAGTGGCTCAAAATTTAGGCAAACTTGCGTGAGTTGTGCTTTCAATCTATATTCAACGAAAAAGAAATACAAATATAAAAATTCGACAATTGTTTTTAGTTGTAGCCAAGGCATATCAAACAGGTAAATAGTAGCATTAGAGCAAAAACAACATTTGCGTGTATTTTGTTGTTGCTTCTGGTATCGAAAGTGTCAAAAATTGTTCCGATTTTTTTTTTCGAATAAATTGAGATCGGAAAAAATAACGGCCCTTATTATGGTTCACAACTCAACTTAATCAACTTTGTTGAGTTGTGTCTGAGACAACTATTCATTGCTATTGCCGTTCACAACTGTTTTCAGTTGACTGTAGCCATTGAAAAAGTCGGAAATTCGATGAAAATTTTGGTATTTTAATAATATTATGTTATTTCAATGATATTAAAATAATTACAATCAAACAAATGGAAATTAGTTACGAATTATGTTTTACTGATTGCTCGAGGATGCTATTATCAAACAACTGGCAGACAACTATGTTTTCAAAGCTGAGTTGAGTTGTGTCCAACAATACCAATTTACAACTCAACTATCTTCAAAATTGTGAATCAACTATCATAAAAATTGTGAATCATAATAATAATCTTTCTTACCCAGTTGCACGACCCAGTAATCAGCGGTTTAGCTGCTGAGTTGGGCGAACGTTCCAAAAGCTGCTATTCAATTGCTTGTTTTGTATGGACAAGGGTTTCATATGCAAATAGATTTTAACAATTTAGAATTTTTGTGAGAAGAAATTAAAAATATTTGTCATTTTCGAGACCAAATAATTTGGAAAAAAAAAAAATCAAATCAGCTGATCTACTGATACAACCTGTTCAATGTGTCTTGGCTGTAGTTTAAAAGAAATATATGTATGTATGTACCTCTGCGCGTCGTTGTACTCATATCTATAAAGCTCGCATAATATATATTGAGAAAATATTTCTTCCCATTTTATATTAGCCTCCGATCCTTGCGATTTGTTAGTAAACGGCTTCACACGCGACACAGATATTAAAGGATCCGACGTAAAATTTTCCAAATTAGTAGCCTCATTTTTAGGCAAACTCTGCGTCCTTTTTTTCACAAGAATTTCATTAGTAAGAGTTTGTTCATTATCCATAGCGCAATCCTCGTCAGGATACATCACTAGCGATGTATAATCTTTTTGTATTTGAGTAGAATCTACCGAGCAAATATTGTACTCCAAATCCCTCTCATCCTGTGGTGGATTCCGCACAGAAGTGTTACTTTGTTTTTCGAAGTCCTTGTTGAAAGAAGTATGAAATTAATGATTAATACAAGATTTAGTAAGCACATATCTACAATGAAGTGTAATCAATAACAAAATTGTCAACCTTTACAATTTTTTTAAGTTTATTCGTTTAGTTAAAAACTGCATAGGCAAATATAATTCGAAAGTTTATTTAAATTTGCTTCCCGGATGTAAGCTTTCATTCGCTAGTGCTTTTTACCGCTCTGTTCTGTTTGTGCATATATGTGCATCAGGGTGGTCCAAAAATGTGTGTGAAATAGTACAGTCGGAATTTTTATGCTCTCACCCAATAGGATTGTTGTATACCCNCTATGTACAGGTATAGACACACAAGTTTGCTAAGCTACAGTTGCATTTCACATTTGCGCATATGTACATCATGGTTTGACACTTCACGAATTGCCAGAAGAAAAATCTCGTGCAAAAATCTTTAACTTCACACTGGGACGTGTCGGGCTGTCTTCATAAATCTTTTATTTCTAAGGGCTGCGCCAATTGATAGCAAAGTTCTTAGTAGATTTTTGACAACCATAAAGAGAACAAAAATTGCCGAGCCAACAGAGCTAGTGAAAAATTTTACAACAAGAATCATAACCACATTTCCACGATAACCAGTTCTACGTACCGGAATGGCTTGCATTTTACTCGACGAAGGGCTGTTGTTTCGGCGAGCTAATCCCGTTTAAATCGGTAAATCCCATACATTTTTTTGGCGTCCGTGCAGAAATACCTCACAGCCAGATTGCTCCGCATCCTTCTTCTTCGGGCGGGCATTGAGTCCAACCCCGGACCAAAACATATCCTGCATTTGCCGACTCCATCCTAACTCCGCTTCAGTTAAGTGCAACTCTTGCAATCGAAGAACCTGCTCAGGCGTTACAGGGCACCACAAGCTTTGTGGCACCTTGTTATTAAAGCCAAACAGCCCCACCCACGGCTACCAGCTCGCACAACGCGAAGGTGCGAACCAGCACTTAAAGAGCCTGTAAAACGCCTCAACAACCAGAGAAGTCTCTGTTGTCACTTATGCTGACGACTGCTCGATAATGCTGTTTGGGAATGGAATTGATGACTTGTGCTCGAAAGTAAACGGTTGTCTCCTGGAACCAAGGTGCCTAACCTTCACGACTGTGAAATCCTTGGCAAACCTTTTCCTCACCTGGACGAAGGGGGTCAGACTACAGCTGAGATGAACCAATTCCGACGGTGAATAAACCAAACATTCAGGGAGTTACCTTCGATTGCTGCCTTCACGTCGCTAGCCGGCAGCACCTGGGACAAATACAAACATACAAGGCCAAATTGTTCGGCCGGTTCTAAACTCTGCAGCGCCCGTGTGGTCGCAGGGGACTAGCAGGGTGCAGAGGACGTAGCTACATGCCAGAACACGGCCCTCCGGACCGAAACCGGATGACTCGCTACCGCACCACCTTCACAACGAAACTCAAATGCTAAAAATGCCGGTAGAAACTTGCACTTCATTAGACCGAAAATGTATGGGCTATAGAACTGCATCCCCCCAAATTCTCTAAATATTCAGGTTAAAAAATTCAAATATTGAGGATTTGTTGAATTATAGTCTAACAAAAAATATCCCACCAGTCAATTTTTGTTGTCGGCAATAAGAAAACGTGTCGCCCTCGGAAACAAATTTACTACCGGTAATATCGCCATCGTATCGATTTCTTTTCACCAAACGTCCGCCGAAGGCAACTCACCTAGGCGAGTCGTTTTCTTATTACCTGAATGAGTCGCTTTTTGGAATAACTTGATTCTTTTTAATACTTCATTTATTTTTTATATGCAAAATTGTAACATAGAAACGGAATTAATTTTTAATTTCGCTGTTGTACTTCCTATTTTTTCAATCCTGTCTCTGGAGTAAATTAGACATTTTTGAATAATACTCTTGACACGAAATTTATAAGTTTGGGAATTTTTGATAGCTTAATTATTCCGAAATTGACATGAAAGAAATGACGTTGCCGATTTGTCACCACGGCAATAAACCGGTAAGTTGCCAATTTGTTGCCATTGACGATTGTTGCCTACTTCTCATAATTTGTATGGTGGGATTTTTCAACAAAAATAAAATTAACTTTACTACATCAAACATATTTTGTTTTTTTTACGCTCATTTTTGTTTCAATCTTATAAAATCCGTCTATTGGCATTTTTCGTTCTCGAAACGCGGCAGTCTACGATTTCGGCACGACTAAAAGAAGAACGGTGAATGTTCGAATAAATCGTTGCAGCAAAATCGCGTAAGTGTGTGGCTGTTAATTTAAAACTGTGGTCTGCATTGTTGTAATTTTCGTCGGTACGGATTCGCACCGACAGAATCGCACATATGTGTGGGTACCTTAAACTTTGAAACTGTGATTTATATGTATGCACATTAGACTGCATCACTCCCCATATAAAAAAAATCTGTACTATTTTTCCATTGGAATTATAAAATCTATTATATTTTAAGACGTCCACCAAAATATTTCGGAAGATTGGTATAGGAAAAACTTGAAAAACTGAATCTAAACTCTTCCGGAAAGGTATTTTCTCACCCTTTTTATTTCTTTGCTAATAGACTCATTCAAAGGATGGAAGAGAAAGGTAGGATGAACGAAGGTCATTCAAAGTTGAATTAAGAAACAAGACGGGACACGAATGACGTTTTTTTGGCCAGAAATAAACCCAGTGTGAAAATAATTTTCTACTGAGATCCCATAAGTCTAAATCAGAACATGTTTGACCCAGTTATTAAAGTTTTTCGTAAATCAATCTTTGAAATAAGTAAAAAAAAACAGCATCAACAACCTCATTCTTACGGTTCCGTTGAAAAGATTTTTAAATATTTTTATGCAGATTTTTTAAGCTTAATCTAATTTGTCATCTGAGGGGACCTTTTTCAAAAAATTCTTTAAGAAACTATTTTTATTCATAAAAAACTTGATTTTTAGAGGTATTTTCAAATCGGTCCAGCTTGCTTAAATCTTAATGTTTTTCCGAAATATTTTGGTGGACGTCTTAAAATATAATAGATTTTGTAATCCCGGCGGAAAAACCGCAACTTTTTTTGGTGATGCAGTTTAATGTACATACATATATAAAAAAAAAAATAACAAAAAAATTACTCGAAAAACATACGAATATTTAAAGAAACCCCAACCACGATGTTTTGTTTGAGTAGCGAAAAAATATCAAGTTTTGCAAGTACTTTTGTTCATTTGCCTGTGTATTTGCGTATAATTTAGCAAATCTCCAAATAATAGTTGCCTTTCCTGATTCGCGAGAAGTTGCAAGAAAGCGCACCCGTACTCGGCTCTCTGGCAAAGTAGGGGGAAAATGGGGAAGTAAAATCGGTCCTCTCTTTGTCAGAATTGCAAGATTTTATTCCAAGGCGAATTAATATAAGGTGATAGCAGGAGTACAAAAACAAAAATTGACATGTATTTTGTTTTTGCTTTGGCGGCATAAACTGTCAAATCTGTAAGAGTGTGTGTAGAAATTCAAACAAAATTTTTCAATTTGATATCACCCACCAAACAATTTGTGTTGCCGGCAATAAGAAAACGTGTTGCCCTCGGAAACAAATTTATTGCCGGTAATATTGCCTTCGAATCGATTTTCTATTACCGGTCGCTCTAAAACGTCCGCCGAAGGCAACTCGCCTGGGTGAGTCGTTTTCTTATTACCTGATGAGTCCTTTTCTTATCGCTTCAGGCGATATTCGGAATAATTTTATTCTTTTTAATACTTCATTTATTTTTTTGTATACCAAATTGCAACTTACAATCGGAATTAATTCATTTTCTCGCTGTGAGGCTTCCTATTTTTTCAATCTGGTCCTTGGGCATAATTTAGATGCTTTTGGCCAATACTATTGACGCCATATTCATAAGTTTCGGAATTTTTGAGAACTTTTTTATTCAAAATTGACATGAATGAAGTGATGTTGCCGATTTGTCACCACAGCAATAAATCGGTGAGTCGCCAATTTGTTGCCATTGACGATTGTTGCCTATTCCTCATGTTTTGCATGGTGGGCAGAAGCCGTGCGGCGAAACACATACACAAAATCAGCTGAGCTAGTAACACCACCTTATATTAATTCGCCTTGATCTTATTCGAATAATTTTTGCTGGCAAAATCTGGTAAAGTGTCAAACCATCAGCTGTTCAATGTTGTCAAAACAAATTGAAAGTTGAATAAGCATTCCCGCACAATCTGGACTGGTAAAACGGTACAATGTCCAGAAGTACGCATCGCAAAAAACACATTTCGTGCCCAGAATTTGAGAGTTAATTCAGGCGGCTTTGGTTGTTGCCACTTAAGTGCATCGCTTGGAAATTGAAGTTTGGTTTCACCAATTTAATTGTGTTAATAAATAAAAATAAGAAATTAACTATGTCCCGTTTGTTTAAAGCTCAAATACAAATGATTTTGCACCAAACGACCTTTTGTTTATATTAAACAAATTAATTTTTTTGAGATTTTTATGTTTGAATACTATTTCGTTCTGTACTTCACAGATGCTTTTTCGTAATTAAGAAAAACCGAAAATAAATTAAAAATTATATGTTCCGCCAAGTTACAGTGTGGCGTTGTTTGAAATTCTATTATTGACCTGAACTGATTTTTGATGAACATTTCTACAAAACACCCCTCTATGATCGATCAAACAAACTTATTTTTAAGTATGTTTAAAAAAATACTGCAGCTGAAATCTTTTTTTGTTATAATTTTGGGCGATTTGATGTTTCATTTCGGGCAGGAAAAGGGGGTTTTTACGTTCCCGTGGGTTTGGGCAGTTGATTCCTTTTTGTCAGAGAATTTCTTACGTATGCTCATATGCCCGAAAATGGTTTTAATGGTTAGAAGCTTATAATTGGGATACACCCTTTTAAGTTTTACTTCTTCTACTAAACTGAAGGGATGATACTCTCAAACAATATTCTTTATTACCTGTTGATTGCTTAGACGTTGCTTCTTCATTGGAAGAGGCTTGATGAGATCACGGCTGTTATCCTCGATGTTAATAAGTACTTCTTCTTCAAGGTGCTCCCGCCTAGAATTCCTGTTGTACCGATATTGGTGCCGTCTGTCCATATGACGAATAAGACTGCAAGTGGATTTATTTGACACAGACAACTGCTGACCGCACAACTTGCATTTCACTCTCTTATCCTCCTCANAAATACAGCATCTTTTACATTAATAATGAGTTTTGCCCGTCACTTACAAAATTACAACGAATTCAAGGGCTCTTGTACGATATTCCAAAGGAGCCAAAAGCTAGGCTAAAAAACGCCGATCTCTTAAATATTTGTTGCAGACGTACAGCTGAAATGTGAAAAGTTAGTTACAAAATTAACTGTTATGTGTACATATGCATGATAAAAGATATACAGAGAAATAAGAGAAACAGTGCTAAAGTCTAGAGTGAAAATTAAATTAAATGCGACTTTCAAACTTTATCCGGTAGAGATGACCGCTGAAGAAATTACAGTAAGTCGTTCAGGCATGTGAAAATTCTCTCACTGGGAAAACTTTTGAGAGAGTAAGAGAGCTACTCTTCCCAATGATGCCTGGGTTATATTGGAAGTAACGAACCGGTGTGAACTGTCACTTAATTATCTATTGTATGTGCAATAAAAGCAAATGGTTGTAATGCACGTAAACGCAGCGTAAACGTCTGTTCTGCCTTTTCCAAGTTGTATAAGGAAGCAAAGCAAGGGTCTGGTGGTAAACGAGGACAAGACGAAGTATCTCCTGTCATCAAACAAATAGTCAGCACATTCGCGCCTTGGCACCCACTTCACTGCTTCTGACGGTTAAGTTTTGGCGCGCAATTTTCTTTTTAATTAGGAATAGTTCAAATTATAATAAAAATAAAAAAATATACAATAGATTTAAATTTTTCATCCATATTTTCATTTCACTTATTATGTTTCAGTTTGTTTACATTTGAATTTGAAACATAACCTTACTTTTTGACTGCAGCAAATTCCTGCTAGTAAAATTTTTACTTGCAAAAATTTGCAGCTCTCTCGGGTGGTTACGCTCTCGAATTCGTTCCTCTTGCATATATTTTGGGTTATTGAATGCATTTCCCGTAAAAACTTGCAAGTACTAGTAACAATTCGTTATAATTTTTTGATATTGAATGGAACTAATGTCAGCATGTAAATCCAACGCAGAATCACTTTTGCCAACAAGTGCTACTTTGGATTGAAGCATGGACAATGACAACATCCGATGAGACGGTTATTGGAGTATTCGAGAGAAAGATTTTGCGGTAGATTTAAGGGCATTTACGCGTTGGCGACGGCGAGTACCGCAGACGATGGAAAGACCAGGTGGAGAAGGACTTGGCTTCACTTGACGTCAGTTGGCACAGAAAAGAAATGACTGGCGTGCTTTGTTGAACTCGGCCAAAATCGCTAAGGCGGTTACAGCGTCAAATAAGAAGAAGAAACGCAACGTAAAACGGAAGCATCTAAAATCAATAGATCCTTACGAATTGACTGCGATTTGTTACGATTCGCCCCGTGCACTATAACCAGGGAGTAATAAGATACAGGATTTTGCCAGAGGTTTTTCTTTTGGCAAATTCATGAAAAGTGTCTAAACCAGAGGTTCCTAAACTTTTTTTCTTCTAATAAGCCCCTTTCAAAACATGACTTGTTTCTTAGAGCCCCTGCTGCTCATTTCTCAAAGCTCATCAAAAAGTGTGAAGATTAGCTCTAACGATGTAAATTTGCATAGCGGGAGAGTTCCAAAACTAAACTCGGAGTTGCAAAACTAAAATATTTTATTGTGTATTACAATAAAAAGTATTGTGATTACACACTTGCAATTTCAAAAAACAGAGCTCGTAAAGCCATCAAAGTACTATCACTCTGTGAGGAGTTATATTTTTAAGAGCACTCCATAAACTCCTCACATGTTCGGCTAAATCTTGAATTTGCATGTGGCGTATTTGAAAAATAGTTTATTTGTGTTGATGCCATCATTTTTATTTTTATCGCTCCAAATTTTAAAGTGATGCTAAATATATTCATCACTATCATGTTTATCACTTATATTTTTTAAATACAAAACTTGCAACAACAAAGACGCAAAGCTTTTAACGCCAAACTTTAAATTCGGAAACTGACAATAGAGAAAATGCCGAATCTAGAAATATATATGATAAACAACCAAGCACGCAAGAAGCAGAAGAAGAAAAAGGAAGGTAGTTTCAATAAACAACTTTTTGATTAAAAAGGGGA